TGTTTTGGATATCTGTTTCAAACGTAAAATTTCAACGTAAAGATGTGTATTTATCAAAAGTAAAAGTGCAAAGCAAAAGAATATAGTACCTATGTGCTAATGCCAAGTAACCTGTACTTAGCGCGAATCCAATTCCAACACAAAACATTAAAAGCCAAATGGTACTCCAATTCAAAGTTATACTTTCAACGGGCGTACGAGTTCGACGTTGTATGATCGCGTAATTTTTTAGAGAAAGTGCTGATACAACGATGAATGCCAGAAGATTTAATATAAATAAGACCGCGGCCCCTGTTGTAATAAAAGATTAAACAGATTAAGCATTATTTTTCAATAATAAAAGAATAAAACATATAAAAGCTTGATTTTAATTTACATAAATCTTGATATTTTGGCCTTGGACTAAATTTTGTATGAGCGTCATCACTACCACTATTCACAGCTTGTTCAAAACTTGGAGGTGGGGGATAACTAGCTTGTGGTGACATGTAAGATGTATGTTGAGGTTCATATGATGGTCTTTCACTATCATCATAGTAGGTTGATGTTTTTCCTAAACCAGTATGCTTGTGTGAATAGATCGAATTAGGTGGAGTTGGAGGAGGAAGGTAATGTATTGGATCTGGCACATGATGAGAATATTGTTGTGACATCTTTTAAATTTCCCGAAATATAATTTTAAAAAAAAGAACTTTTAGAAGAGCAATAAAATTCCGATTCCTTTTATTATTTACATTTGGGTCAAGATTCATTGGTTGCATTATTATTAAGTCATTTTTACATCATAGATATCTGATGATTATTTGTATTAGTTCTGCTGGGAATGTCCCAGAAATGTGTGTCATTATTTTCTGTGGCTTCACTATTGTACTATGGTGCTAGAAGACAATAAAAATAGTACAGTGCAGACAACCTAGTCCCGACAAACAAATTTGACTGATTTCAAAATGCTAATTCTTGTTCATAAAAACAATAAACAAAAATCTCTTCATAGAACATTAAAACCATGCAAGCTAAACATTTTGATGGTCTTAAAATTTTTTAAATTTATTTTTAATTAATAAAATAGTAGAAAATTAAAATCGAGGCAATTTTATAATTAAGCAAGCAATTTGGCCGCTTAAAATATACTATTAAACAAGCCACTTTACACATTAAATTTGGCCGCTCTATATACTAAGTTTGACCGCTACGAATGGAAATCCATGAACAAAATTTGTTGTTCCATCTG